AAGCATTGTGTAAACCTACGCGCTTCAAACTTCGTATCGACGCATGCCGCGTGCAAGAATGAATGGGATTACGACAGACTCTGTATAAAAATATGTCCAACACCCAAAATTAATATTTTAAAATCTTTGTTTAATAAACCTTATTTACTTTTTAAATATCAGACTTGCATTACTTTTTCTATTTCAAACTGTTTTAGAAAACGAGCATATACAGATATATATATGTCTATTTAGTGTTATGTAACATTGTAAGCGTCTGTATGAATGGATTAAAGTTAACGTTTCTGACGAATTGTCATATAATTGCATATAATAAGGACCCTATCGAACGTGGTGGCATGGAGGAGTATGCAATTATTTGTTTCACACCTGCAGTGTGAAGTATTTTCTGGCCACTTTTAGTGAAATATATCGTCCAAAAGCCATTTTCTGGGAAGGGGAAAAGATTCGTACTGCCAATATTATTCGAAACTAAGGGATTTGTACTCAATATTATTCGAATTTTTAGCCTTCGTAATCGGTATTATTCGAACTGACAATCATGGCAGATATGTTTAGACCCCCTGGACATTTAGGATGTTGAAATGGTAAACATATCACATAAATTTATCAAATGGAAGCCGCCAATGGAAATTTACTTTACCAGTGTTGACTGCCATTGGAAATGCTGAGAAAGATGAAAAGATACAAGTAAATATCCTATTACACTATGCTGGACCACAGGCGCTAGTAACATAATCAAATATTTTACATAATCGGTCTATATATGTATTTATATAAAGATATATATAGACCGATTATGTAAAATATTTTTATTATGTGACTTAGCGCCTGTGTTGCTGGATCGACTCTAAAGTTATCAATTTACCATGGGCAAATGCAGAACATAAACTTGGAAGTGAAAAAAGTATTTGACAAAATAGAAAGCTATTGCAAGCCTAGAAAAAATGAAAGGTGCTAGAATCAACACAGATTTTGGGTAACAAAATCCAGATAAATTATTCATCCATTTGAAGTTTTCTTAACAGAGTTTTTGAAAGCCATGTTGAGTCCCAGAAATAATATTTTTGAAAAATGTTATTTAACAAATTATTCCAATCACTCAGTCAGAACTGAGCCACCCTTAACTTTTTTTTACATAAAACTCCTTAAGAACATTGAATATATATATAAAGGTAAAAATTATATAAGGATATATCATTTATTTTATGAGTCTTTTAATAGAAAAATTTGAGCATGGGCAGTTAAATTAAAGCCAGTAAGTAAAAAAAGAGGGTTGACACCTGAGGATAAAACCAATGTAAGAAGGTGAAAATCGATACTCAAACACAGGTACATTCTAAATATTTAAAGATTTGATGTTTTGATCAGAAAATTTCAAGGCACAAATAGGTAATTTAATTTCCCCCCTGATTACCACCAAATATGATTTTATTTTAGAAGTCCTGAAAGATCTTTTTATGTGAATCTTAACTGAAAAAAAAAGGTTTAAACCTGAATAATTATAAAATTCCTTGCCACAATGATAACTAGAAGGTACATAAAGCCGTCAAAAAAAAATTTTCTAATCCATATTCATCATTTTCCCTGGACCTCCATCCCACCTTTGATGAATTTCTCCAACTGGTGGTAAATTTTTCCCAATATATTATTATGTTTTGTTTGTTAAATAATAAAATTTAATTTTTTTATTTTATATACAGCTTAGAATAGTCCTGTATGGCTAAGATAGAACAGATAAAAACAACTTTTTAGTAAACAATGAGTTACATCCCTTCAAATGGAGATAAAGATGAAACCCCATAAGAAATTGCCATGTCTGACAGACAGCAAAATTATAAAATTCTGCAGGCTCAGTTTACTTAGGCCCCATTAGGAGGTAGTGGTAATAACTGTGGGTTTCAAAAATGGAAAAAAAATATCATTTTTTCAAGGGATGTTATTTTCTAATATTTGATTTACTTTAAATAAAATGGGGTCATTATCAATGAATATTTCTCTGACTTCTATGCCCATGTGTTAATAGATTATTGACATTGCCAGCAATAGCTCAAGCTGAGTGAGTCAGTACAGCCCACAATACATGTATAATATATTCATTATCCCGTCAAAACTGCACATATTTCTCACCCTGTGATATTTTCACCCCCTGTTACTTTTTAGGGTTCAATATATGTTTATGATGGTTCACTCATAACTGAGTCATAAGTCAATTCACTTTGTTACTTAAAGTGTGGCCAATGAAAAAGAGAAAAATTTCAAATATGCTGTGGATTATGTCAATGCATAGAACTATGAAGACTGAAAATATTTAAGCTGTAGAGCTGCTGTATGGTATTCCAAGCCGTTCTGGGTTTTTTGGTAGTTCTGAGGTATGGTATTCTGAGTGTCTCTGGTTTGAGTTTTAGTCAGGCTGCATTTCATTTTCTCACTCTTTGATATTGATAAATATTTTCAGCTCATTATTGGCTGGACTGCATATATTAATGATTTATTTGTATTAAATCAATATTGTTAAATATTTAGTTATTGTCTATATATGCATGTGACTTTATTTTTGATAAGGCATTGTAACAGTACTACTTCTTAATTTAACCTTTTTTGTATTGGGGGAGAAGCCCTTAATTAACTCCTTACCAGTAAGTTTTATTGTACACGATGATGATAGCTTGAAAGGATTTAGCTGAAAAAAGATACTACTTGAATTTTTTTTTCCTATTGGATTGTAGAATATTTATTGATTGTCAAAAAACTATATGGAGTTCTCCTCGGTGACATTAAACAGTCCCAGCTGGCCATACATGCAGGACCTTGCAGACCATGAGACAGGGTGGTCTGTACCAAGACGTTGACAAATCCGATATCGAGACATGGTGGACAGGACAGACAGTGATGTTCAGATCCCCCACTCAGAAAGGAAGTTCCTAAGTTCCTGGTCTTCAATTACTTCATTTGCTTACTTGGAGTAAAGGTGCTGGAAACAATAGTATGATATCACAAAAAAGCACAGACTGTGATAAAAGTCAAACCAAAAAAGATACTATAAACTGAATTCATAGATTATATAAAAGATATTTATTAATTCTTTAAGTTTATAGTTAACAAAAAAAAGATACAGAGTATTTAATTTTGATATATAGCATATTAACACACATAAAGTGCATTATGCCATATAAATTTCAACTTAGTGCTTAAATACTTTCTGATGAACTCAGTAAGCAAACATGATTTACTAATCTTTGGATTCCCACACTCCTCTCCACCTAGCTCCAATGAGATCCACTTGGTTGACCATAACATGTACCATACCTCATATTGTTTGTTTACAGTTTGGAATGAAAAAATGAAAGTTTATTCTAGATATTATAAAGCTTAATTTTATTAAATTTCACAAGGCTTTCAACACATCAACAATGTAATTGTCATTTTATTTTTTGAAAATGTGTTGGACTGCTGGTCTGATGCATGTAGATGCTGTGTTGGCATATATTTTTTACATATTTTTTGTGTGTATGTGTGTGCATGCATGCGTGCATGTGTGTGTGTTTTATACATTATATAGTTAACATCTTTTGAAAACATCTTGTCCAATTTCAACCAAACTCGACAGGGTTGTTCCATGAGTAAAGGGCTTCCAAGGGTTCATAGATTTTCCTGATATGTATGTAGTTAAAACTTAAAATCTTCTCAAAGACAAAGACTAGAGGTTAGATATTTGTCATGAAACATTTGGTAGTTAACCTCTACCAAGATTATTCACGTTACAGCCCAAGGGTCAAAATTAGCCTCACCCCTGGGGTCATATATTAAGGTTTTCCTTATATGTATATAGCAAAAACTTTTTTAAAAATCTTTTTATCAGAAGGTTTAAGGCTTAGAGCTTAGATACTTGGTAAATAATATCATAAGTACGTCCTTTACCAAAGTTGTTCAAATGTTGCCCCTAGTGAAATAGCACCAGGGTGTCATAGGTTTTCCTTAAATGTATAAACATGTATAGAAAAAAAAAATATTCTCCTCTGGATTGACAAAGGCTAGATGTTTGATATTTGTCATGAAACCTTTACGTGTGTATTAAATAAACCTCTATCACTATTGTTCAAATTATAGCCCTGGGGTCAAAATGGCTCTGCCAAGGAGTCTTTTTGGGTTTTCATTATATGGTATGTATATAGTAAAAAACTTTAAAAAAATCTTGTCTGAAGGTACAAGGTTTAACAGGCACCATGGTGTCTTAGGATTTCCTTAAATGTATATACATGTATAGAAAAAAGACTTAAACAGTATTCCCCTCTGAATTGACAAAGACTAGAGGTAAGATATTTGGCATGAAGCATTGTGTAGTCGACCTCTACCAAGATTGTTTTAATTTTAGCCCTGGGATAAAATTTGCCTTGTGGGAGGGTTGGGGGTGGGGGGAGTCATTAATTTTCGTAATGTACTTGTAGTAAAAATTTAAGAATGTACAAGGCTAGAGCTTAGGGCTTTGATGCCTAAATTTTGTCAAGTACAATGCTTTTATTTTGAATCAATAATTGCACTATGGAGTGCATTTTTTCCAGTGAATGCGTTTTGCATGTAAACAAAAATGTTCACCTAACTTTTAAGTCTTGCTGAATGATTCAATACCACATTTTTGTAGACTACAAACCCACATGTTGGTCTTGTTTTTAAAGTAATAGATAAAAACACTGAAGACTCTATTTTACTATTTCAGCATTGTATACTGCAGATAATAAACCGGTCTTTGCAAACTGATTTCTGTATTGCTCTTCAATTTCCCAAACCATATAGTCTTGCCTTGAAAAAACACAGCACTAGTCTGTAGGAACAACACCTCTTTCCTGTCCTATTAAAAACTTGAGAAGAAATAAGCCTAGATTTGTGTTCGAAATTGATTGTAACCAGAAGATGACTTCTATTGAGTTCAGTATATTAAAATCACATGGTCTTGATGTCAAGCAATGTATACCTCAGTGCTTGCAGTGCTTTGATTTGTTTCGTAAGAGGGCGGAGCGTGTAAAATCTTTGCTGCTCGCCATATCTAGGTGGGATACTAGGACGTGAATATAAGAATCTTACACTGGCTGCCGGTACAGACCGGAATATCTAGCTCGAGGGTTACTGTTTACGGCGGTAACGAGGCTCTGCCGAGTTACAGCTAAACAGTTACCCGAGGGCTAGATATTCCGGTCTGTACCGGCGGCCAGTGTTTGATTCTCTTTCCTGCATATAACATATCAATTATTTTCAAAACAGGAAATTACGAAAACTGATATTCTCGTTAGGCACTTTTTTTCTTATAGTAGCGTATGAACTTACAACTTAATTTATAACGGTAAAATGACGTCATCCTAAGAACGCAATTCATTCATAAAAGGCGTGCGGCAATGACATCATTTAAAACACGCGACTTATCTTACATGGGGGTGTGAGACAGGGTTTCTAGCACCGGTGTAAACGGTAGATAGTCCTGTCTGACATGCAAGAAAGTGTTCTCTGTGTGCCGTGTTTATCAAAGTACGTACCCCGGTCTGGATCATATAGTTTCTTTATGGTTTACCTTCTCTTTAACGGTTTTTAAGTTCTGATAATTTGCATAACGCCGGGTAAAGCCTCTTCCATTTATCTTCTATTTGCTGCGGAAAATGTTCGTGAATTCTTATTTTAGTTTGCGACTTATTGTACAGTGTCCCAGCTTTTCGTACTTGTTCCCGTTCACAAAAACTATCGGAATGAGCAATAATTGGTCGATTGGTACACCTCTGCTGTATGTTTACTAATACTTTTTGGTAGGGTTCAATTTAAGTAACAGTTTGCTCAATATCTTTAAGGCGGTTGTTCATCTCATTCATTAAATCAAGTGCATTTGGTTGGTTGTTGTCATGGGTGGGGCATGATGGAAACCCCAAAGACATCGTGGGGCAGAACATCGGGCTATGTCCAGTTGTATGAGAAAAGAAGCTAGACCAAGAGTATTGGGGGTATGGGGAATATGGTGGTATGCAACATGCTCGGTCAGTCTGGTTTTCTCGTACAGATGGTTGTTCTGTCCTATTGGTGCCGCCATTACCCCCTGTTTCCTTTCTTGCCATCTGTTGGCATAATTGTTGAACTGAATAACTGAGTCCATCTACACAAAATTCACCAAAATAATTTATCGTTACCTCTATTGTAGTGATTTGTTATTATATTATACGAATGCTTAGAAGAAAATAAGTTTTTATAATTATACCAAATTCGCTAAAATCAATATACTAGTTTCTACAAATAGCCGCCATTTCTTTCGACCCTCGTTTTCGATTTTTCTTTCTGCGTTGTTATATTTTCTGGTCTCCGGATCATTGAAACCGTAACTTTCAGGTGATGAAGACTGAATACCACTTAAAAGGTTAGACATGGTGTAATTTTATATGATCTCTCCTAATCAGACTCAAACTGAGTTTGCATTTTTCGTATAACTTTATTATTTCTATTGCTTCCAAAGATTCTCCCTTGTTCCAGATGATTTGATTTCTTATAAAAGCAATAGTTCACCAACACTAAACAAAAAGTTCAAACTCTTTGCAAACGTACAATTTCCCACAAAGTATAAAAAAAACTCCAAAATAATCAATTACACCGCAACCTTTGGGTGGTGTTAAGAGCACGGCCAAATTTTCCTACATAACCCCAGAACAGCAGGCTCGAAACATATTCATGATTATGTTAAGAAATCCTGTCTCAAAATTGAGTTGAATTAATTTACTCTTCACGTAAACATCAATTTACCCATGTTGGAAAACTATGTTTTAAACAAACAAGAATGCTTTTAATAATATCCAAATTATACTAATTATATATTTGATATTATTAAATTCTAGCGATCAGTATATTTTACAAATACAAACAAATGATCGTTATGCTTTTAAACAAGAACAAAAAAATAAAATAAAAACACACAAAAAACAACAAAAACAGACAACATTCTACAAACTAAAACTATAAAGTAGATATGGTACTGAGTGGAACACACATCAAAGGAACTCCACTGAGGTCTAAAAGCCTAAAATCATAAAATAAGATCAGCTGGAGCACATAAAACATAAAAATTTCAAAGGATGATAAAGAAATACGTGAAAATATATTCAAAATCATACAGTTTTGTTGCTCTTAGCCCGATTTGAGTGGGAAAATATTTAACCTAAAAAAAATTGGGTCATTTTACACAACTGCTCTGGAAAAAACGGACTGAGCGAATGATCTGAAATTTTGGTTTAGATCTTCATTAGATGTCTGAAATTTATTTAAACGTCATGTCAACATACATCAGTTGAGTCCCTTTAGAAATACCAAAACTGATAAAGTAATTTCTTGATACTAAAAATTACTGCCACATATTATATTTAAAACAAAAACAACATTTCTTTATGATTAATGACGAATTATCGGTTTACAGAACAGTTTTTTCTCAGTAATTTATATAAACAGGTTATTTCTTTGTTCGTTCTGATGTTTAGAGTATAAATTAATATATTGACTATAATTTTTTTGTTATGACTGAAGTAGTATAAGTGTAAATTTCTACAAAAAATATGTAAGAAATAAAAACATTCATTTTAAGTTGTATAATATTTTCAAAGACCTTTGATCTGTTACCATAATCATATATTTTTATGTTATTAATTTTCATTATTTGTATATTATTTGATAGTAGATGTGATTTGAAGCATTACTTTTGTTTTAATTCATGAAAAGAAAATAGAAAGTGAAATACATTTTAAACATTTAAAATAAGATGTTAGGTGGTACTAAATTTTATATAGTGTTTGTATGAAAACATATGGCTTGCTTCTCCAATGTTGTTAACAAGTTCTAGCATTCATACCTAATCAAGTACTCGGGGTATATTTGATTGTTGTCGAATATGATGAATATTTGCGGGTTGGTTTCATTATCAACACAGGAATCATAAAGCTCACTGCACGGGTTGTCTTCGTCTTTATGAGGCGGACGTTTATATTCGCTGGTTCCGCGGACGTATGCCCCCGGTAAAATTTTTACAACAAACATTGCCCTCTCCACAGTTAGTTCTGCGTAACAATTGGAATATCTGGATGTTGTGGCAAAGTAGCTTCCTTTTCCATATACCGTACCTGTAATTGTAAAACATAATTTACACTATGAACAATGCAATGAATTATGTTTAACGAACCCCACTAAATTCACTAAAATGATATTAAAAGAGCTATATTCAATAACGTACAAATACATACAATTTCAAAATATCAGCTGGTTGAATTTCCCCTAAGCAAACATTTTGGAAAATTTTAATACATGGCTGGAAAGCTCTATTTTTAAGCTCGAGGGAGTGATAGAGAAGGCAACGACGTGGTACATGGTAACACTCTAAAAATTGTTATAAGGTACACAGTACATGAAAAAATAGATAATCTCTCCCGAGATTGCAAGAATTATTTATACACGTACATTAATTATTTGATACTATTATTTGCTACTATTATAGATTGAATTGTACAATCTCTACAATAACTTGTTAATTGAAAAAATAAATAGTAATAACTATTTATAAAAAAAAGAAAAAAAAGAAACTCTTATGTAATAAGTAATTAACTTTTGCATACGTATTATTGTATTTATCATCAAAGCTTGTATACGACTCTTTTGAGATTAAATTTGCCAATAAAAGAGTCTTTTTATTCTTATCACAAAGTATTAGCATGTAAAAAGTAAGATACTATGGGTAATGATAAGTAATAATATTTCGTTTTACAACCATTCATTTTCTGTCATATATAAATTTTCTTATCCGATCAAATATCTCAAACCTACTAGCACCATTTGTTCATTATTTCCTACATGTTTTGTTGTCACGTGTTATACTATCAACACAAAACGATTATTTATTATTTTAAAGACTTCCTTTATAGACCAATTAACTTTACTTTAAATTGTGCTTATCCTCGAAAATGATTTGCTTATCATGGGAATTTCATTATACTAACAAGGTGAACTCAATCATTTGTTGTTTTTTAAAGGCAATTTAAAATATCATTTCATTTATTTTTACAGACTTAAAAGTTTATTTCATAGTAATTGTATCGGAACCTAACGACATCAAAATGGGAATGACTTTTAATCAATAGTAGGACAAAAACGACTTATAATTCCATGTCACTTGTCTGATCATTGTATGTATCGACCTAAACAGGGCCAGACTATACATTCATTTTCCTTTACATTGATTCCTTTTAGGATTTCTTATATTGAACGGAATATACACAAAATAAAATATCTGCCATTTGAGATAGAATCTACTTCGATATTGAGGGAAGTGTTGGATACTCTTGGTAAATGGAAGAAGCAGCACATTGAATTTACCTGATGTCTGACCACTCAGTCTAAAATCAAACCCTCGATTCCAGATTGGATCAATGTATTGATTCCTTGTACCATGAAACAATCGTCTTTCACCCACTTCCTCTTTTGTCTTCTTCTTTAACATCTTTGTTCGCTTACTGCAATAGAAAGAGACTGGCGATTAAAAATATACAATTGTAACATACTTAAAGATGTATTTTTGCTCAAATTTGATATTTGAAAATACTGATAATTGTAAGTCGGTCTCTACCTACATTCCCTATTAGTTGTTAAGTTAATTTGGTACTTTCTTAAACGAAACCTGCAAGTTGACACTATGTATTCCAACAATGTATAGAGTAAAAGATGTCTCTTCTTTGTGTATTATAAAGGTGTTCATTTTACAATTCTTTTTATGACCATGTAGGATAATTCCTATGGTAGTTGTATCTATACATGTGACTTACCCAATAAAATCCTCCCATAAATCGCCATTCTCAATTCGTTCAATAGATTTGATACAAACTGTTCTTCCAAAACTATCAAGAAATAATCCTTCTATTTCCTTGTACTCCGTATCATTTTCTTTCAACTGAAAGTTTAAAGCTGATCGTTATTTAAATCCACACTGTCATTTATTTGCAATTCTGGTTTTATCTATTTTTTTCTTAAAATGTCTCAGCGACATTGATCAAAAATATTATTAAAGAATACTTTGACATACAGTTTTCAGCTCGACTATACGAAGTATATGGAGAGCTGTCCTACTCGCCCCGGCGTTGGCGTCCGCGTCCAAATTTCAGATTAAAGTTTTGGTACAGTAAATACTTTTCACTATAACTTTGTCATTTCTTAAGGTATCAACTTCAAACTTCAAATATGTGTTCCTTATCATCAACCACATCTTATGTGACAAGGTTCATAACTCTAGCACCAACATATTCAAATTTATCTCCCCTTGAACTTAGAATTGTTCTAAAAAATGCTATTTTTTACTGTTACTTCTTTATTTCTGAAGGTATCAACTTCATACTTCAAATATATGTTCCTTATCATCAACCACATCTTATGTGACAAGGTTCATAACTCTAGCACCAATATCGCAAGAATAATCTCCCCATAAACTTAGACTTTTTTTATCAGAAACTGACTATAACGTTTTTAGTTTTAAAGGTATCTTTCTCACCAACTACATTATATATGACAATGTTCATAACTCTTGAAGCAATATTTACAGATTTATCTCTCTTTGAACTTAGGATTTTCTTTAAAAAATATTATAACTTCTTTACTTTTTAAGGTATCTACTCCAAACTTTAAATACTTATTTCTTATCATTACACACATGTTGTGTGACAAGGTTCATAACTTAGCGTCACTATTTCTTTAGAATTCAATCTGCCCCCTTTGATAACGTGTCAGCACATTATATAATGACTGTGTGTATTTTTAAACGGTTTAATGGTCACAAACATAATTATACCATAATGATGTTCCTATAAATCGAATAAGTTTAATTGATCCTCCTCAAATATTTATTACATTGCTGGCTTACAGGTTAAGATACAGTCAAAACAATAAATGAATCATATAGCCAAATGTCAATGATAAAAGTTTACCACCAATAGCCAATACAATAACTAAAAATTTAACTTCAATTCCTAAAGGAAGACAGAGTCAAAGCAAAAATCACCTACAAAGCGAGAAGTAAAAAAGACACATTAAGTAAATTTCAATTAATTTAAAATAATCATATAAATTAATCAAGAGTCAAACAGGGTAAAAACACAATTAATCATGAGCTTTCAAACATTCGTTTCTTTTTTTATTGAGTGTCTTTGTGGCCATGTCGAACATGCACTCAAAACTAAAATAAGAAAATGCATAAGTGTAAAAAAAAGTAATATCGCGTTTTTCTGTTATTATTTGAATCATTGATGATTGGTCCTCTTCAGGAAGCATATTCCAGTTTGGTGGTGCTGTGGTGGATTCACGTTCTAATTTAGGCTGATTGGGTACTTTGCCTCCTCGTTTTCTTAAAATAAAAAAATCAATTAAATGTTCCAAATGGTAATTTTATCATCCTGTTAACGATGTATGAATTTATGCAGATCGTTAGGGTCAGTATTGCAAAACAACAACATCTAAACCACGTATTATGTCAACCCCTAGATTACAGTAGATGTATAACACCAAGCAGATGAGTCGTATTCAAAATAATAATAATGAATCACTTTTATAAACTGAGAGGAAAAACAATTGAAAATATTTGAGTCTTTTAGTTTTTCCTGATCTTTAAATCTTACTGTAATCGGAGCCAGGTGATTAACTTATTACTCTACTGCACATAGAATTTAAGATGTCATGTAATACATATAACACTACATTATTTTTTAGGAGTTTGTCAAAGAACAAGGAAAACGACACACAATATTTAAATTTGTTTAATTTTATTCACTTATGCTGCAAAATGGATTTAAAGAGAAATAAGAAATGGAAAGCAATATTTGTATGCATTACAGGTAATTTCTTGAACCTAATACCACAAATTTCTATCAATTATTTTCTACAAGTAGCCATCGAACCTTCTTTTTAAAAATCTAAACTTAATTTAATTGACAATAATATTTAATTGAAAATTATACTACCTGTGTAACAAAAGTTTTCATTGAAAAAAAGAAAACAAGTCCATGAAAACCATTCTGATTATCAATTAGTTAAATTTTGCCGTATAACATAACTGATGCATCATTTTTATATCTAAAACATAAAAGTCCTATGACCTCCTTTATAGATGAAACTATCAATTCTTTAATTACAAAATATAAAATATGAAGCAAATTATGGGAATTTGTACAAATTGCATGAAGGGATGAAAATTTACACTCTTTTCCATAAAATATTAGTCCATCAAAGAGATCATTTCAGGGTTCATTGACAGCGGCAACTTTATTACCGTCATAACAATAACTAGTTCTGATAGAATTTTAATAAATAAAAAGAAATAATCTAAAATCCTGATAGTGTTCCTTACTTTTGTGAAGGTCTTGTTTTCCTCTCCTCTGCCTCCTTCTCACTTACAAATACAGGTCTACGGCAAATTTCAACTTCAGTTGTCGGGTTATCATTTACTTGCATCATTTTTGAAAAGTCGATGATACTTCCATTTTCTCGGAGGGAAAACTGTCCATCCGGGTTGTTGATAAAAGCTTGTTCAATATCACCTTTCTCTGTTTCGCCAACCTTAAATGGACCAGTATTTGAAATAAAGGTATTTATGTGCATCTGTTGGCCGATAAGCGGAATAACTCTGTACAAGTATGTGAGAACAATGAAGAAAACTACAGTTTATGAAGTGAAAAATGGGCAACATTTTTTAAGCCATTAGAACATTACATGACATAAAATATTTAATCTAGTTATAAAACATATTTAAGCATAAATAATCTAATCTTGTAAAAGAGATAGCAAATATAAATACTTTTATTATTCAATAATTCGTAAAGTTAAAAATACATTATTGATATCTGTATGATATTGATATATTCGTAATACATCATTCAACGCTTAACAAAAATTCTTTGACTCAAGTGATAAAAAGAATGAAAATGTCCTCGTTTATAATGAAATAATTCGAAAGCATGGGAAATCTATTTTACTGTCTTGTTCAATCTGACTCGTTCAGTTGCGTTACAGACAGACATATTTCTTTTGTTGTTGTTTTTTCATTGTCATAATTTATTTCATTTACCCTCATTGACATTTCTTTGTCATAAGAATATTGGCAGGGCAACCAGCACTTTAGGTTGCTGCCGTAACACAATATATTTTACTTTGTAGTCTAATATTAAATGGATATTAAAATGTTCAACATTCAATTGATTAAATGTAATATTCTATTAAAAAACAAAGGGTAATATTTATAATAATCCTTACCGTATCGCTGTAGTTCGTCCACTCACCATTTTCATTCTTCCAATACCACAGCCAGTTTGTTGCCCAAAGCTGTCGCTCTAATTCTACAGAGGATGGTGTAGACAGTCGATTAACTACAAATACCTGTCCCTCAAAGTCTGTGCCAATCATCGTTTTAAAATCAATGTTAATGTTTACCCTAAATATTGTGAGAATATATATAATTATATATGATGAACAAACAGAAACCTTTCACGAAAGTAGTATACTATATATTTATGTTAAGTAAACGCGAGTTTAACAAAAATCAAGGCTCTTCAAATGTCGTAGACTTAAATATATTACATACTAACAAGACATTCGAAAACTTAATTGAAGTCCAAAGATTAAACTTCAACCTTTGTGATATTTGGAACTTTGTAAGTGCTCTTGTACACTTATAGAATTCAAAGACAGCTATTTTAACTTGCAAGTATAAATTGAAAGGAAATTTATAAGGAACAATAGAGAAATTAGGTATCCCTTAAGAATTAACGTCCAAAACGAAAGTATGGCAAATGTGGAAGGCGTAGGTTAATTAAAATAAATTTATATCTTCATCATTTAATATTTTTGATAATGCTTCAAATGTACAAATAGAAATAAGGAATTATAATAAAATACCCTTGCTCAGTTACAAGTCTGTAAATCTCATTAGCTGGATCACAGAATACTCTCTCTGTTTCAACGTTTCCATGCTGATATAGAAGATTCCATTCCTTTGCAAACAAAGGCTTCCACCGCCACTGATACGGGAGGTCGCAATGAACATTAGGACAGAAATTCCATTTGCATATTCCACGCAGGTTAAATATGCATACCTTTTTTCTTGAAACCTTTGCTGGTTTTCTGTTATGTGTTGCAACTGATTTTTAAATATACAAATAAAATTACAGTAAGTATACATGTATATGCATATAGACTGCAAAACAAATCAGTTTAAATTTTAATTTTTTAAACACAGAAACAGCTCTGGGTTTAATGAAATTTTACGAGGTAATCCAATTTTTACAAACCCAAACATTTTAGTCTATTAAGTCAAAATAACTAATGTAAATTTTTATTATTTTTTTTTATAAACATATTAAATAAAAAGCTAAAAAAATTTTATTTTTTGATTACAAGAATTTGTTTTTTAAAGGGAATTTTTTCTTTAAAAAAAAAAAAATACACACGAATTCTTTCGTTATTTTAATTTTTTTAATTTTCCTTTTTTCCAAAATCTTGCACAGTATTTTCCTCGTCGATCTTTTTCTATTTAATACTGCTGAAAATCAGCCCAAAAAAATTTCCCTTTGGGTTTTTGTTTCGGGATTTTGCCAAAACTTTTTGAGATTTGCTTTTAACCTTTTTGGTTTTAAAAAATTTTTTTGGGTTTTGTTGCAACCCCTTTCCAAACCTCACATTTTCCCTCAATATAACTCTTGCACATGTGTATGTATGAACAACAGCCCGTTTTCTCGCATCCACGGCCGTTGTAACTGTAACAGATTTTAGGAGCCGACTTCTTATTTCCATCGGCATCTGTATAAAATATATAATACAATAATTCTTACTTTCTAATCTAAGTTGACTTTGCTTCCGAGGGATCACTTTGTCGCCAAATTTTTTAAAACTTTTTACTTCTTGAAAATTCCTATATTTAAGATAAAAATTGAAACTATTCACTTACTGCACTACAAAGACATGCTAAAACATATTCATATTTTGATAGGGTTGGTTTGATTAATATACGGAGGTCCTAGCATTAAGTCAACTATGTATTTTTTTTACTTTCTTTCATATCATATTAAGTAAATGTTAACAAATTGTATTTGTTAAATATACTAGTAATTATTTTTAAAGTAGGAATTTAATTATAAAACAGATATGCAAACTGAATTCTATGTTATCTAATGTTTTAATCGACCTTTTGCTCCACATCCAGCAGTGATATTGCCTTTTCGATTTTCTCCATTTAATGCTGCTTGAAAATCAGCTAAAATGTCCTTCGGTTTTCTTTTCGTATTTATGCCATGTTTTTCGAGATTTGCTTTCACTTCTGGTTCAAGAATATTATGGCTTTTGTTGCATCCCCTTCCAGCCTCACATTTGCCGTCAATATAACTCTTGCACATATGTATGTATGAACAAGAGCCCGCTTTCTCGCATCCACGGCCGTTGTAATTGTAACAGATTTTAGGAGCCGACTTCTTATTTCCATCGGCATCTGTATAAAATATATAATACAATAATTCTTACTCTCTAGTCTAAGTTGACTTTGCTTCCGAGGGATCACTTTGTCGCCAGATTTCTAAACGTTTTACTTGTTGAAAGTTCCTATTTTTAAGACAAAAATTGAAACTATTCACTTACTGCAGTACAAAGAAATGCTAAAATATGTTCATATTTTGATAGGGTTGGTTTGATTAATATACGGAGTTAATGCTAATGTTTGCAACCTAGCATTAAGTCAACTATGTTTTTTTTTATTTTACTTTCTTTCATATCATATTAAGTAAATGGTAACAAATTATATTTGTTTTGTATGCTAGTAATTATTTTAAAGAAGGAATTTTATTATAAAACAGATATGCAAACTGAATTCTATGTTATCTAATGTTTTAATCGACCTTTTGCTCCACATCCAGCAGTGATATTGCCTTTTCGATTTTCTCCATTTAATGCTGCTTGAAAATCAGCTAAAATGTCCTTCGGTTTTCTTTTCGTATTTATGCCATGGTTTTCGAGATTTGCTTTCACTTCTGGTTCAAGAATATCATGGCTTTTGTTACATCCCCTTCCAGCCTCACATTTGCCGTCAATATAACTCTTGCACATATGTATGTATGAACAAGAGCCCGCTTTCTCGCATCCACGGCCGTTGTAATTGTAACAGATTTTAGGAGCCGACTTCTTATTTCCATCGGCATCTGTATAAAATATATAATACAATAATTCTTACTCTCTAGTCTAAGTTGACTTTGCTTCCGGGGGATCACTTTGTCGCCAGATTTCTAAACTTTTTACTTGCTGAAAATTCCTATTTTTAAGACAAAAATTGAAACTATTCACTTACTGCACTACAAAGACATGCTAAAATATGTTCATATTTTGATAGGGTTGGTTTGATTAATATACGGAGTTAATGCTAATGTTTGCAACCTAGCATTAAGTCAACTATGTTTTTTTTTATTTTACTTTCTTTCATATCATATTAAGTAAATGTTAACAAATTGTATTTGTTTTGTATGCTAGTAATTATTTTAAAGTAGGAATTTTATTATAAAACAGATATGCAAACTGAATTCTATGTTATTTAATGTTTCAATCGACCTTTTGCTCCACATCCAGAAGTGATATTGCCTTTTGGATTTTCTCCATTTAATGCAGCTTGAAAATCAGCCAAAATGTCCTTCGGTTCCCTTTTCGTATTTATGCCATGTTTTTCGAGATTTGCTTTCACTTCTGGTTCAAGAATATCATGGCTTTTGTTACATCCCCTTCCAGCCTCACATTTGCCGTCAATATAACTCTTGCACATATGTATGTATGAACAACAGCCCGTTTTCTCGCACCCACGGCCGTTGTAACTATAACATATTTTAGGAGCCGACTTCTTATTTCCATCCGTATCTGTATAAAATACAAAACAATAATTCTTACTCTATAATCTAAGTGACTTTGCTTCCGAGGGATCATTTTGTCGCCAAATTTTTTAAAACGTTTTACTTGTTGAAAATTCCTATATTTAAGATAAAAATTGAAACGATTCACTTACTGCACTACAAAGACATGCTAAAACATATTCATATTTTGATAGGGTTGGTTTGAGTAATATACGGAGGAAATGCCAATGTTTGCAACCTAGCATTAAGTCAACTATGTATTTTTATTACTTTCTTTCATATCATATTAAGTAAATGTTAACAAATTGTATTTGTTAAATATACTAGTAATTATTTTTAAAGTAGAAATTTAATTATAAAACAGATATGCAAACTCTTGCACATATGTATGTATGAACAAGAGCCCGCTTTCTCGCACCCACGGCTTTTGTTACTGTAACCGATTATAGGAGCCGACTTCGTATTTCCATCGGCATCTGTATAAAATATCATACAATAATTCTTACTATCTAATCTAAGTTGACTTAGGTTTTTGTTTAGTATTTATGTCATGTTTTTCTAGTTTAGTTTTCACTGCAAGCTCGAGGATATTGTGTTTTTTAGGGCATTTCTTTCCTGCTTCACACTTACTATATATATAATCCCTACACATATGTATGCGAGGACACAGTTCGGAATTTTCACACCCACAAATTTGTATTTGTAGCAGATAGTTGGTTTAGACACAACCATGGGTTAAAAACACGGTAACTGATGAAGACAATTAAATTTTGAGTAACAAAGCATATATGTCGTTAGTTGAGAAAATGGCAACTTCATAAATAGGCCAATCTTTAGTAAAATGTGTTTGAGATACAGTAAAGTCATTGCAAATATGCACCCGTCAATAAAAAACTGATCCACCACTATATCAAGAGAGAAATAAGTAAACTATAGGTATGATATCATAAGAAATTATATAAAAAGGTTCTGATTGAAAACGTAGTTCGCGTGCAATTGATCTTTACCTTTTGAGTTCTCTCTTTCTCTTTGTCTTTTACATTTGTTCACAGATGCTTGTAAGTCTGGAAACATGTCTTTAGGTTTCCTTTTTACATCTATTCCATGTTTTTCCATGATGGCTTTTACCTGGGGTTCTAGGATGTTTTGGCTTTTGTTGCATTCTTTTCCAGACTCGCATCGACTTTCTATGTAATTTTTACACAGATGTAAAAAATGACAAGTATCGCCCCTTTCACAACAATCTCCGTTGTACTTGTTACAAATCCTAATAGAACCTTTCTCTGGCGTATTCTGTACAGCGGCTCGGACTGGAATAGTTTCACAACATATAAAATGGGCAGGGATTTAAAAATCTACCTTTATAATGAAGTATGTTAGAGTAAATATACGAGCAAAATAAAAATACTTTTTTAAAAACGTTAATGCTTTTATTAATATCTAATTTAGAAGAAAACATATTTCATAGTAATGTAGTAAAGTTACAAGCTGTTAATAACACATGTCATGCCAATGCATGTATTTTAGATAAAATCAAAACTATTATGTACCTTTCGGTTTTCTTTTCGAATCATCATTGTTCTGTCCTTTACTTTCCTTAACAGATGCTTGCAAGTCTGGTAGAATTTCTTTTGGCCTCCTATTTATGTCTATGCCATGTTTTTCCATGATGACTTTTACCTGAGCATCCAGGATATTGTGGCTTTTGCTGCATGCTTTTCCAGATTCGCACCGACTTTCTATATAACTTTTACACAGATGTAAAAATAGACAAGTATTACCTCTGTCACAACCATTGCTATTATAATAATGACATGTCTGCAGAGGGATATTTAGATCACCGACTGCTCCTGAAATGCAAGATACTTAGGTAATAAGACTACAATATTAATATTATTTTATAAAGATTTAGATTTCCTCTCCACGGTTATGTTAAATATCACTTTGTTTGCTCTTTCCGTCACAACATGTAAGCCTTCCGGGTATATAAACGATCACGCTTTAAAAAATGATATTTGTGAGCAAATTTTGTTAAGGAATTAGAATTTATTAGACGGTATGTATCATTTCCAGAGCGCTGTCTTGGAGTCACGATAAAAGCCTGAAATTGTTTGTAGACCATATATATTTTTGAACTCTAAATAACAACGTGGTATTAAGAAGGACATAAGAATAACATGCTTACTATGTACATTAGCTGTAGGTGTAGGCAGTGTCACTTGATCGGTGCTTGTTTTCGGCTCAGCTGGTGTCTTTGTTGTAACAACATTACCAACAGTATGTGCTGTAGTGTGTGCTTTAATAAGCTCAACAACAATCGTTGCTTCAAGGTCGTCAGTGACGTAGTCGCATCCGTCAAAAGGGCATTTTGCAACAGGCATTGTTTGGTGTTGTCTTGTTCTGCTAAAATATTATATTAAATTTCTTGTTTACATTTTTTTCACTGCATCGAATACAGACTTCATATAGATATCTAAATGCATGCAGTTACATAAGCCATGATTTCCGACACTATCTTAATACATCAAATTCAATCATTACAATTACTATGCCAGCCAAATGACTTACAACCACTTATCCTCCTGAACTATTGTAACGAACCAACTATTATCAATTCAAGGGATATCGTATGATGGCTGATTTCTGCCATTTCGTGTCTTTGTGACTTCGCCCCTCAAAGTCTTAGGCGAAGACACGATAAATTGACCAATTATCGTGTCTTTACCTTCGGCTATAGAGAGCATCGGCACAGAATAACGATATGTTCTATGCGAAATAATGATATTTTATTAGGTGAAGACACGAGATCTTTTTCCTTTTTTTTCCTCAAAATGCAAAAGGAAAAGACACGATAAATGGCCAATTAATCGTGTCTTCCACTTTCGGGGCGAAGACATGACGACACTGAGACTCGATAAATTGGCCAATTATCGTGTTTTCGACTTTCACATTTTGAGGCGAAGAAACGATGAAATGACAAATAATAATAATAATAATAATTACCACATTTCTATAGCGCCCTTCTCAAAAAATAAAATGTTCAAAGGCGCTTTACAATGGAATTATATACATTTACAATGACTTTATAAACAAAAAAAAGTAATAAAAATAATAACACACATTTATGTATACATTTACAAAGTATAAAATATACCATGATTAATCTAAAAGTCTAAAACTCAGTCGATCAAATAAAAAAATGTATATGAAGAATAATCTCAGACTTGAAAATAAAATAAAGAGAAACGTTAAAAGTATTAAAATTAATAAAAAAAACACAAATCAAGATAAGACAACTGAAATCTAAATCCAATTTGATGAAAACAGTAATTAGTAATGGAAATGTGATTCAAAAATAGACTATTATATTTCAAATGTGTACCCAGATATCTCATAACAAAAGACAGCACGTCAATTCATAGTGATGACAAATACAGCACAGTTAGTTACTATAAATTTTCTGGAAAAAATGTGTTTTTAAAGATTTCTTAAAAACATCTACTATAAAGGCGCCGATACAAAGATTTCACACGCCGACACAATAACTTTACAGAAAAAGATCTCGTGTCTTCCCCTATTAAAACATTGTTATTTCTCCTTAAACATATCGTTTCTTAGTGCCGGCGCCCCCAAATGTCGCCTTCCACTTTTGGGGGGCGAATACACGAAGACATGAAATGGTAGCTGAATAAATACACGGAGTACCGACAACGCAAACATGTAGATAAAACTGTGTTTTTATCAGACGGTCGAAAAAACAAGTCGAAAGTCCGCTGATTTTATCAAATATTCATTGTTCAAATCACATAGCAAAAGATAAAATGATTCGTTAGCATCGTAAATACCACTGCACTTCACTCTGCCTTATTTCAAGTACTAATTAAACGTTCATATCTAAAAACATATTTTATACGGAAACTAATAATACGCTTCAGAAGATACTAATAGTAAAACCTGTTTAGATATTGGTGGTAGACAACATATTATATTTCGGAAACCATAGAGCTAGGCTACCTGCTTACAGCTTTACATTTTGTTCTGGAGAGTCAAATTAAAATCAGTTTCAAAATTCATGTCAAGCTTATTATCCTGGTTTTAAATTTCCTCATAGCGTCCGCCCGTTCATGTGTTAGGTAAAGATAAAATGCCGCAGTTCGGTAATTGAATCACTTTATTGGGTGCTTCAAATGAAAAGAATTGTCCTGTTTTATGAAAGCAATGCATCATAAATAAACACATGTTAGTTTACCACGTACTTTAACTTCTAATTTAACTTATTTTCTAGATATACAATGTAAGTATAAAAAGATTAATTAATTCATAACAGTAAAGAAAATTTACTTACATTTCCTTTTTAAACTATGACGGTTTTGTGCTTTCAATACTTGCTACTTTCATTTTCGTTTCTAAATGCGGAAGTTATCCGCCGCACGACTGAGATTGAATATCTGTTTCGCTAACTTAAGCATAGGGAAATTTCAATAAAACAAAAATCTACAACTTATCCATCTACATTTTTGTATTATAATTTCACGGTGTTAACGGTGGTTGTTGGCGGCGTCAATTTGTGCAAATTAGAGTACAGGATTTTTAAAGTGTTGTGCGCATTAAAATACGGATTTAATCAATAAAATAATGTCCCTTGTAGTACTCTTTTGGACATTTCCTCGATAGTTGGCATTGGCAACCTGTTGAATAAATATATTTACGTACATGCATTTGTTTTTACATTATTTAAAGCACATGCAACAGAAGGTCAGAGAATAAATCTTTAGTATGCTCAAGATCAAGATGCCCATCATATATACTTTTGCTCTGGAACCATAGCGTTGAACTAAGTTATGAAAATGGTTTTATATTTCGAGGTCATAATCACTCCGCTCTAAAATTATAGGTCAAATACACACTTGGCATTTTGGTGTAAACAAAATGGTTGAGCGTGGGAAAGAAAAATTCTTTTGGCAAGATTGAACAAATCACAGAATTTGTTTAACAGTGTAGTACCTGTCTCTCACATCGTAATTCAAATGCAAATGAACCGCTTATAAGTCATGAGTTTCCTGATAGACAGTGACAGAAAATACGCCAGATATTTTTACTCATGATGGTAAGATTTACTTGATAACAATTGCCTATTATAGTCGATTCTTTGAAATTGACTCTTTGCCAAATACTCGAGCAAATACCGCAATACAAAATATTCGTGCACATACATCTCGATATGGAATTGTAGATATTTGCATGAGTGATAACGGACTGCAATTTTCGTCAACAGAATTTGCCGAGTTCGCGAAATCATGGGGATTTAATCACATTACGTCATCGCTTTATCATATAGTAGGTCAAATTGAATGGCTGAAAAGGGTGTGTTGATTGCTAAGAAAACCTAAATTAAGGCAAAGGAATCTAGGCAAGACCCATATATATGTATTTAAAAATACAGAAACACATCTTTAAAATGTGGTTACACCCCAAATCAGTTGATAATGGGACGAAAGACAAAGTTTGAAGTTCTAATTTCTGAAAAAGGCTTCAACTACCGGACAGTTAGTCCATCAGTGGTTAAAAACAAAAATGCAAAAAATGAAGTCAGGACAAAAATATTAGTTTGATAAAAACACAAAAAGTCTAAGTACACTTCGAGTAAATGACCCGGTCCATATCCTGTTTGGTTAAAAATGGGTACCAGGAAAGGTTTCTTTAACGAATGGAGAAAGGTTGTACAATGTACAGACACAATATGGCACAATTTACTGCCACAATAGAAAATTTCTAATCAAAACCCAAGAAAATCAACAAACTCCGCACACCGGTTACGCTATGGCAAGTCACCACTGCCTTCACACAAATCACGTGATGATCGTCTTATCACATGATTGCGTAAAGGTGGAATATACGCCAATGAAATCTTTGAACAATTGTTTCATAGATCTGTAAGAAATAACGACATTATAACTTGAGGTCTGGTCTCAAATTGAAAAGAAAAAACATTTTTGTTAAGTGTAGAATCAAAACAATTATTACTTGAATGATTTCTCTTTCGGGAGGGGCCATTGTTTAGGAAATAAACTGTGCGATATTAAGATTTTATAGAATTATTTTCATAATATTAATGTTTCCAAAATTATTTTTTTTTATTTTAGATCACATCTAACACCTTACAGTCTTGAAACATAGCCAAAACCGTGTTTACTTTTTAAAATAAATATCAAAATTGAAAAAATTCATATCGTCAAAAATCTTGACGAAAATGTTGTGACGGCAGAGATCTAATACTGTTTGGGGAGATCACTGCGTAGGAGATTGGAAAATCAAATCATCGATTTTCTCCCTAATGCATTTGATTCGCCGTGCACACAAGAGAACAAATTACCTGATAATAGTTTTCCACAAAATAGTGACCCTTCTATTAACTATAAACCATTGGCTAGCACAACATATGGTAATTATTAAACACGGTCTGGGAGAATTGTCAAACCTAGTACTCGTTATCAGAATGATACTTATCAGAAGTAAACTGACTGATGATTATAAATCTGATAAACGAAAATTGTGTAAATAAATAGATTAGTTCGTAATGATAGCTTTTAATTACATTTATGTACGAATTAGCTATAAATAGTTTCTACTAAAATGATTCAATAATATTATCAATGTTAAAAATTAAAAAAAAACATATTCTTCATGTTGAATGTCTATTTGTTAAGATATCAATGTCAATCAATTTCTTTAATTAAAAGAAGGGAGATGTAATATGAGACTGTTTATAAAAATGTATACATGCGCATGCTTAGAAAGTAGTACAACAGGTCTTGATAAGAGTTTATCTCCAGTATTAAACTTGTAGTCATAGAACACACTTGTGTGTCTCTTACTTGTCATTTGAGTTATACGTTGTTTACTTGTGATATACTCACATACAAAACCACATACATTTTGTAACATTACAATAGTGATTTAGTATTTTATCTGAAGTTGAAAATCTGCCTATCATAAAATACACGGAGTACCGACAATTCATCTTATTCACCACAAACATGTAGACAAAGCTGTGTTTTATCAGGTGGTCGATGAAACCATTCGAAATTTGAAATATGCTGATTTAATCAACTCTTCAACGATAAAATGAAAACGAAAACATTCGTAAGCATCGTGAATACTGTAACACTTCACCGTGCCTTATTTCAAGTACGAAACATTCATCTATGTGTAAGTAATATGTTATATTGAGGTTCTCCCCCACCAAAAAAAAAATTAAAAATAAAAAAAAAATCACCACCCCTAAAAAAAATTTTTTAAACACACTCAAACAAAATAATATATGGTATATTGAGCTTCTTCCCCACCAAAAAAATTAGCCTCTAGAGGACCCCTTGAAAAAAATGAAAAAATGAAAAAAAAATATTAGAACACATAAAAAATATTAGAAAATAGGAAATTGATAAAACGAAAATTCAATAACGTTTAATTAACCCCAATGCCGCAGTTTACAATAAACCAGCAACCAACAAAACTACAGACCATACATGTTCAACAAACCAGGATACAACTTTGCCTGTTGTTGATAACAAACAAAAAACAATAGAACCAATAATACCAGGTAATGCTTCTGCTGCTTTTCCTGCAAGACTGGCTAATAGTTTACCAAGATTTGATAATTGTTTTTTTACCCAATCTTTTACACCATCTTTTGTTGGAGGTTTTGTTGGAGTTGTAGTTCCACCACCTGTAGTAGGAATAAAAGTATCAACAATAACACCAATTATCATTCCAAAAGCAGTTAAAACACTAACAATTGTAATTCCTTGTTCTCTGAATAACGTTCTAATTCTCTCAGCTATGAA